AGGAATTTTTGCTGCTGCTTCCTTTGAGCAATTCTTTCAAACTAATCTCTTGCCAAACTTTTAGTCTTGCACATATAAGCAACATATAAACGCACCCTCGTCACGAAGTCGTAGTCCTCAGGTACTTCGAAGTAGTCTCCATCCGCGTACAGTTCCTTGTCTCTTACTTGATCCCAAATCTTCAGTTTCAAGATCAAACCTAAAGAAGCGGACGTAGTTTAAGGATTTATATGAATTTTGCTTGAGAAACTATATGAGATTTTCATTCAACATATAAGATGATTGAAATCATGCTGAAAATCGCTCTGATTGCCGTCAGGAATACTCGCCGTAGCGAGAACTCAGCGATGAGCTGCTGCTAAACCCCTGCACGATCCTCTGCACTTACCCGTAATGGCTCCACTAACGATTGCACCAACCAAAACAACTACGAGAGCAATCAGCTGGAATGCCGCTTGAACCATCATATCTCTTCCATGTTCATTCGACGATGTTTTTATGGCTGGATAGATCATATTCAAGCTGAAATGAAATTCACTCAACGATGCAATCCACCCTCTGAGAGTTTCTTCTTTTGCAAGAAACATTATTGTTGAGACGGATAACGCACAAATCTTGAATNTTGGCTATAGAAATGCTCACCTGGTGCCATACTTTGCGGGATCATAAACAGCTGCGAAGATGAAACCAAGAATACCAGCGTAAACTCCTAAAATGTAAAAAATTCTACGACTTGTTCATTCTTTCGAACCACTCATGAATGAAGCACTTCTGTATTGTAAGCATTGCTTGCTTGCGAATGAGTTAAATATGTTCTGGCTGAATAAATTCTTGAATTCTAGTTGAGACAGTTCTTTTAATGCAAGATTCATTGCAATACAAGCGATTTGTTCAAGGTCCATTGATGCAAGATCGATACAACATTCGATGCAAGATTCATTGCAATACAGGCGATTTGTTCTTTATCAGTATGATCATTGTGACCGAAATAGTAAATGCTGATTGCTGAGGGACATACCTGGCATTCCATGGAGATTGTTTACACCACACGTGTCGTGAATACGCATCTTGCGTGCAAGGAACGGCTGAAAATCCACTTCAGTCAGCATGATGTTCAAACGTGACAAACATCAATAGACAAGATCACAGCAGTTGACAACATTATCAAAAGCAGTTTCCAGAATAACCGAATAAATTATCGTTTTCTTGGTTCGAAAACACATAAGATATGGAGTGTCCGTATTGAATTTTCATTTCATGAACAATTTTCATGTATACTGGTATGATAAACAAGAATCTTTTCATTGCTCGATGAGAATTTCGTAGGACAGTCATGAGGAAATAATATTCGAACCGTGACATAAGCATATCCGAGGACAGAGATCACTGCGGCTCCAGCGCCAACGAGCAATGCATGAAGAGGCATTAGCACAACGTTCGCGGTCGTACCAATTGCTACACCACCAGCCAGGGTCGAATTCGCTATATGTGTCATCGAGAAGCGCATCTGAATACGGATTTTAGAAAGCGTTTTGCATCTCATACGATCAGGCGATTTAAACTTTCCACTTAGACTGTTCGTAAGACCTTATCCCTATCAGACTGCGCTCGTTACAGAAATGACCACAAATTATGTATGATTTACACGTACAGGGGTGGACATTAGCTCTCATCATAAAGTTCGGAAGCACAGGATCCAAAATCACTCTGATTTTTCTTGACAAGACATACGGGATTGGCAGGATGAAGTTTTCCAAATGAGGTGTACGAGCTCGTCGAATGTACGATACGTACGGATTTTGGGGATTGCCAGTAAAAGAAGTTCAAATTAAAGCGATCGATTCGCTACTATAACCAAATCGGACACACCTTATGTTCACGATCAACCAACTGACTGAGGATGAACGTCACCACGGTGCAAGCAGCCAACGACAGGTAGGTGTTGAGAACAGCTCGTTGACGTGCATTTTCAGGTACAGCTGAGACGGCGTTAAACGATGGCCAGAATACCCAAAGGAAGACGGCACCTGAAAAAGATTTTCGTTTTTGGAACAATCAGAACAAATTTGTCAAATTCGTTAGAGATCGCTCACATAAACGCAACTTCACTTGATCCGACGGTCCACTTCAAGTGCATTGACTGTGCAAGAATCAACACATCACAATGATTGAAAGAAATCCATTTCTATGATATTTGTTTGCAATGCAATCTTGATGGTTATCCATATGTTCCATTTCATTTCATCTTTGGATACCATTCCAAGATGTGTGAAGAAAAGAAATCTTGTGAAATGCGTTCTTAATTATGATATTTTTGAAGATTCACTTACCGATCATAGAGAAAATATCCGAACTGTAGTTGCTTCCCTCATGTTCATGCTCACGATGCTGTTTCTTGTTGAATACGAAGGCAAGCGCTAGTCCAAAGTATGCGCCAAATGCGTGAATAACCATTGAATCGCCGACATCGTTCGCCTATATTTTCATGAGCAGTGATTACGTTCGATTGTGGTTAAACCCACAAAATTCAATGCTTCATTCCACTTCGATGCCAATTTTACAAGAAGTCAAGACATTCTTAAGATATGTGACTGATAAACTAATGAGAGGGAGTCGTTCATTTCAAATGTTCTCTGATCATTTTTTTTTTTGAAAGTGTATAGCGATTTTTACAACGATACATCATGTGATACATTGATACTGTTGAATTATTAATTGCCGCTGTGTGCAATTCGAAATTGAAGAAGGAATAATAATGAAAATTTCTTTGGAATGCCTTTCAATGCTACCACTGTAGACAAATTTGATGTTTTCCTTGATTCTTCGAAGGAGCACGCTAACCAACAAAGACTAATAGTAGCAGCAATTAATCGAGATAGAAATCGATACTCATGAAGTTCTACTGTCAAAGTAATCAACAAATATATCACATCTTCTGCAAC